TCCTAAAGATTTGAGAAATGAACTGCTCAACGTTAAGCTGGATTCAGATTCAACTTTTCCAGTCAGTTTAGCAAATGATGAAGATACATATAAGTATTTTTCTATTTGTGATGTCAATATTATTTATAATCATGAATTTTTATTATTCTCAATTAAAATACCGCTTACTTCTAGATTAAGTTATCATTTATACAAATTACCTCTTCCAGTTTTTGATCCTAAAGGCTCGATTTATAAATATATTCATCCTACGTACCCCTTCCTAGTTCCTAATCCTAAGTACGAGTAAAACTAGGTTTGCTTCGATAAAAGTCCTGTCTAGTTGCAAGAAGATCGACGACGTAAAGATTTGATAACTCACCTAACTGCCCAGAACGCAAATTGTGAAGTGAGCCTGAAACTCAATCAAATCAAACAGATCCCTGATGACTGCCGCACGAAAACCATAAAAGCCAATTTGGAAATTTACCACAAACTTTCCCAGAATCAATGGCCGCTCATTGTCTCTTCACCTGTCGCAGCAACTCTGTCATGTGATGTCACCGAGAACTTCATGGATTTCACATTGAAGGAATCTGGCAACTTGAAGCAAATGTTTCACTCTTTCTACTGATCTGTCCTCGACTTTAAATCAAACAAGCAACTCCACGCATTTCGTTCCTGCCATCAAAATTAATATTGACGACTGCTGTGTTCAAGAAATCGAACAAATGAAGAAGATATCTATGAATCCAATTCATCTAAATAACATAGATCTAGATGTACTACGTCATGTAAAGCGCAAACTGGAAATATTCGAAGAAGAAACTTTGCAAAATGAAATTATTAAGCCATTTGGTTCCAGATATCACCCAATCTTCAACACCATCCTATCGGTAGCAATCATCTTCATAATCTTGATTGCAATAAGTTGCTGCTGTTGTTACGCAAAAATTAACCCTTAAACTGTTTGAAAACTAAATTTGAATAAATAAATCCTAATAGGCCTAGGTACAGTAAGACAACCTTAAGGAATGCGGCCAGCGCAACAAAGTGCTCGCGGCTACTCAATGCTGTGGGAGTAGGTTTATTATATAGTTTTAGCTTTATAGGGCGCCACTGGTTTACAAAATAAAATTCGCGGACTCAAACCAGAAAGGCCCTGATCTCCAAAATTCCTCCAAGATGTTCCCACCTGATGTACCTATCCTTTAAAAACAACTTTACCTTAGTTTGGTTGAGGTCAGTAGGGGTAGAATAAGAGACAAATATAAAAACAATGATTATAAATCTATTTAATATAGTCTGGGGGGGAGAGGGGTATGTTTAGAACTGCCATGGCATTCCAAAGGCCAATGTAAGGCAATATATAAAATACTACAGTAATTATTATTAAATGTAATTGGTAAAATTACCAAAAGGTGGCAAGGACCAATTTGTAATGATCTTATGAGATACTCCAATAAATTCAAGATTTACCAATAAATGCTTGACTACCTTACCCCAATAAGAGTGAAAGAGAACATTTAAGGAATAAAAAGATTAATAATATCAATTAAAACCTGTGCCGCTTATACCATGGTATACCGGGGCGGGTTTGTACAAAAAGGTCACCTTAAATATAGTCAATTAAAAATCATTGGTGTAGTACACCAATTGTAATAATGAAGTAAAACAAACTTGGAAATGTACCAAGTTAGATATAAGAAATACAATTAATAATAATAGGAAAAAATAAATAATTGAGAACGTTAATAAATCAACGGGTACATCACCCCCTTGTGGCCTCCCTGTAGTCTAAACATCCATTCTCATTACTGTCTCATGACAGCCTAACAGCTCTGATAACAGACCCTATCAACTTCTTTGACTTTCCTTTTTAAATAGTAAGGGTAAACTACGGTTTCGAATTCAGTGATGTGGGTAATCTTTGAAGGTAAAATCTAAAAACCCTGAAAGAACACAAATTCTTAGAACCCTTTCATATTTATAAAATCAAAATCCCAACCCTCAAATGGTACATACAAGAAATGATTGAAATTAAAGTGCAAAATTCTCTGAAACCTGTAAGTTTCCTTTTGAAAATAATTCCCCTTAATTAATCAGCCCAATAATCTCCCTTTTGAAAGTGACCAGCGAGCCCTTTACTGACAAAATGCCCCTCGTGGAGGTCAAATTCACCTTTTTTTATTGAATTCCACATATCTTCAAAAATACTGATATGCTAATCTAAATATTGATAACGGAAAGGTAAATTCAGATTGATAACAACGTTTAAATTTACCCGGTTACAATTCGGGCTTCTAGTTGAACAAAACGTGCTCTTTGCTCACACGACAAACCAACAAAATGGCGTAGATTTTCCTCTCCAGAAAATTCTGAGTGGTTGGCTTACAAATACGGGGACTTACCACCAAATCCAAGTTTTCACCCCAAAACCAATTAAGCCAGCAACCACTTGAGTCCCCAATGCCTCTAAAATCCCACAAAAGGTGGATGTTCCAAGGAACGCAGTAAGAGAACCGCTGGTAAAATCTGCCAAACAACTTGTTGCTTGCTCAACGTGCGAATTTAAAGAGAAGGACCTTATTTTCAGCAATTCACCAGGTGAGCTCATATGAAAAATTTCACCGAATTCTATTTTTTTTCCAAGATGCCCTCTGGTGCCAGATTTCCGGTCTTGACCAGGAAAACGAGACAATCAGCTTGAAACGAACAACCCAAACCACATCGATGACAACCAAAACTCAAAGTCGTTATCCAGTTCTCTCCCCTAATACTAATTAATTGATTAATTAATAATCATCATTTACCCGGTTTTTAGTCTAAAAAATATCAAAATGACCAGTCGTTCAGTGGTAGCAACTATAGTGACTCTAGTACACACAGTGGTCAAGAAACATCAGCAACAGCGCTGCCTGAAACGGATCAACAAGTGTCCCATAACCACACTTATTCGGTGAAAATAAATAACCGGAAAAATGTAAATAATATTGGAAATAAGGGTAAAAAAGCGATTTAAAGGGTGTGAAAGTGATTTGTGGTGTTGCAGAATTTTTAATAATGGAAAATACGAGACTCGTAAGTGTTGCCAATTGATATTTATATGGAAGTAAACAAACAATTTCATCAACGGTTAGGGCTTTTTAGACAGCTTTCGTAAGCTGAATAAAATAGATATCGAACCTAATAGTAGGGCTTTATTATCCTAAAACTACCCTGTCATCTGAACACAAAGAATTAACTCAGTATTACCCCGAAAAATATACCTTTGTTCAACACCCACATATTTTTTCGCATTCAATCAAAAAGGCAGGAAACTAGTAAAATCCAATAAGAAACCTATCAATCACCGAACAACATTAAACCTCAGGTATAAAGATTCATAAATACCCTCACAAATACCTGAATTAATTTCCGAATTCATTCGAAATCTCAGTTACGTACTAAGGCAAAATTTGTACGTAACACTGTTCCAAGTACTGCTGTAGCTGTAAATGGATACCTTATTTCGGCCGATTTTTTCCTCAAAAACGGTCACATCAGTATTTACAGTCATGATTCATCGATATCCAACAGCAACATGTTCTTAAATTCCAATGAAACTCTCAGATTTTCATAGCACATTCCAAGAGCTCGACAAAAACCAAAAGCACTCCAGTTGAAAGCAGTTGTTGGTACCACTAACAAACCAAATGATGCTCAGCAATACCGAAACCCTCTGATGCCACGAGGGAGACGATCAATTTCAAAAGGGAAATAAAATTATTCAATCAAATCAACCTATTGATTAATTTTAACGGTGGAGGAATATGTTATGTTACACCACTGCTTTGCTGCTACTGTCGCGCCACTGACCTGTAACGAAGCTACCACACCGCTTATTCAGCATAGTTATTAAGTTTCTATATTATATTATATTTTCAAGCTTTTCCTCAGAGATCATTCTTGAATCAACCTCCGAACAAGATTGTCAATCGATACTTAATTTGTTAATCGGGTTTTAGTACTAATAGGTTACGTTTTGATGTGTAATTGTTTAATAAACTTTACAACGGAATAAATTAATGGCAAGAGAGTTGTTTCTTCTCCCTAAAAAAAAGAACTTAACAGATATTATCAAGCCGTCTAATTCCAATCAAGAGAACCTTCCACAGACACAGTGTGGCTTTAGACCCAATCAAGGCACCTACAGCTGACATCAAGCAAGACAAATCCAAAAGAAATCTAGAGAACACTAGATATGGCCTTCATAGATTTAGTGAAAGCATTTGACAGATAACCTATTTGGAAGATATTGGCAAAGGTTGGGATACCGGTATACGCAAAAGATCATCCAGATATTGAAGTTTGGAATCCGAGGCGAAAGTCAAGCATTATAATCAGCCAAATAAACCTTCAAAAATAAGTTGAATCGGTGATTTACATGAAGTTATAGGCTATGGAAAAGTTTGGCCTACAAAATTTATTTAATTGTTATGTAATATTCGCTGCATATTTTTCCGTTGTGATTTTCTTGTCTGCTCATGAGCCTGTAACTCCCTCGTGGATCATTCTACGATTTTCACTTATTATTAAGTGTCTTTCAGCCTTCATATTCATAGAAGTTAGGTACTCGAAGAAGACAAATCCGGAACAATAAAGAAAAGATCCACAACGCTTTCAGCCGGTAGCAAGGGATTAGCTAGAATTGAGGCCAAATACGGAAAGCCTATGGAAACTTTAACCGAATCCAGAGCAGATTTTGCTGAGCTGACCGGTATAATAAAATAAAGTTATTCACTAGTAATTGCTGGCGCATTTTGGATACCAGATTCAACGCAAAAAAAAATGTAAAGAAAGAAAAGCTGCATACGGATGGTTTGTTCTGTATGTGAGGAAAATTTAAAACTCGTGATGGTTACATTGGTTCTAACCATTGGAATACTGTTTTTGGCCCGTTGAGGCCTAAGTAAGAAAAACTGAAATAATTTATCGACTGATAATAATCGCCATCTTTATTTCTTTACTGAATATCATATTCACATACTTACTGGCATGGTAGCGAAAGTGCTCAGAAAAGCAAATGCCGCTTCTCTAGATGGCAAACAGCAACCAAACACTTCTAAAAGCATTGGATTTTTCAGCACCGACTGCCGATAGTCTGAATATGATATTTTTCCGTCACGATCCAGATCCATTTTTTTCGTTATTACCTCGATCATATCTCTGGCGGATTCTTGGGCATCCTCTTCACCACTTTGACTGATTAAAGAAGTTTTGAGCAAATGAAAAATAGCATCTCTCGCCAACATTCCATCTCCCATTATATCGTAAACCTGGAAGAATTTTTTTATTTGAGTCAGTATTTTGACTGTTTACTGTGATCCTGCTGAAGTTGTTGTGGCTATTACGTGAAAATATGTGAAATAATTATTACCGTAAAACAAAATTTCATTTTTTCATCAAGGGTGCCTCTCAAGAATAAAGAAAGCGCAGATGCCCACGTTTCCATTGTAATGCAAGGATTAGGCCCTTTATCTAAAGCCAAAAACATTCGATCCATAAGGGTGTCATCGGTCATATCCAGGGTGCAGTGCAAAACATCCCGGAATTGAAGTTTAGTCACTCCTTCCTGTTTCGGATTGCTCATCAAACCGTCTTTCCATAGTTTGTAATAAATCAACAACAAACATTCCAATTCCCTATAGGAAAAGTGCGTCCTTTTCTCTAATCGTTGCACTAAATATTGATTGCGTTTTTTGAATCTGGTTTCCTCCATGGAGTCCATGGAAAGGTCCAAAGGCCCGGACATTGCTCTGGCTATATTTTCCCGTTTTGCTCGCAGTACTTTTTTACGTAAAAATGCTTCTTTGACTTTTATTACTTGCTTGAAAACGCTAAGGAAGCCGGGGCCGTTCTTGGGGTTCACAGGAGATGCCATATTATTCTTTTATCAGTATACAAACACAAACAAATAGTTAAAAATAATTGCTGGGAAAAAATCAATAAACGAAAGTGACACTGAGTGACACTATGAATGTTCCGTCTGTGACTTGGCAGGTGGGTCACAGGTGCGCAGTTCGCAACCGGCGTACGGCTAGTTCCACCCAATGACATCATATTACGTTTCAGTAGTAGTGAAATGTCACTGGTTTCACCAAAATATTGCAATACCACGGATGCGGTGATTTATCGATGCGCTATGCCTAACTCTGTTTAATTTAACAATACACCAGCTGAATTTAGCCGCACGCGGAAGTTCGCAACGAAAATCGTTGGCATGTTCAAAATTGTTAACTTCACTTTCCTATGATCTTCAAAAATGTTGATTGGCTAAGAGCCACAACTTAATGAATTGGGCTTTTCATTTACATTCAAAGGATTCTGAGCTCGGTTAGACAATGAATTTATTGGTGCAACACTTCATTAGAGGAGATGGGGGGTCAGGGGTCCATAAAGTCTTCCGTCCTCATATGCTGCATTCGCGCCTGAAGAGAAAATACCGATATAAAGAGGGAGTTACAAAAGCTCAAGCGCCTATATGAATCTCACGGGCAGGAACAAAGATCATCCAATATTTTACTGGTAGGCTTGAGCAGCATTGCTGGGGATGTGAAAAAGAATCCAAATGAATTGGAAAAGAAAGCAGAAAAGGTTTTAAAATATATATTGTCTGGCTAGCCAAACGGCGAACTGCAATAGAATTTGCTGCTTTGCCAAACTTAACGGAAACAGTAATAAACAAGTGGGTGATATTTTTTTTTTGCTATATGGGTATGTGTAGTATTTTGAAATAGAAAAAAATCCGGCAACATTGCGAAATAATGGATGTGGAGAGGCGGGACTATTCAGATGCATGATTCTATTGGTTAGAGGCTAAGGTTAGAGCCTGAACGACAGTACAGTGGCGTGGTTATTGGCGAAACTAACAAAAAAAATTCTAATAATTTTATTGACGTGTCTCGCAGAAATAGAAAAAGAGAGCTTAATTATTGTAATAAATACTAGTTAGAAAGTAATGAAAAATGACATGCGCGCGCAACTCGTGGCTGCAGTGTAGCCAGATTGTATTGTTGCAGAACAAATGTAGACAATACAAATCGAACATTATAACATTAAAGAATTGATATATTGTCAAGTGTTTTACAACGCCTTAAATAAGACAAAAGAAGAGCTTTAAAGTGTATGTTAATATCGATGGCACTTTTATTTTGATAAATGTTTCATCCGGCAACATGGCACAATGAAATTGGAAAGGAATATGTCAAATATAATCTAACATAACCTCAAACGACACTGGGATAAGTTCAAGTAGTACGTAAAGTATTAGTTTGCTCTTTGTCGAATTACACGTTACAAAGAAAGAAGAAATACTTCTAATTCTGAACTCGTCCCTAAATACGAATATGACGCAAGCCCGTAACAAACTTGATTTTCATTGGATGCTCACCTGCAACCCACGAGTTGCGCGCGCACACCAGGTATTACGAGACACGTCAATTGGTTCATTTCCTTGGTGTTTTCGGTGCCACTGAACCCAAAGACATGGCTGTCATCAAGCGGTGTCAGTTGAGGTGTCAGTGAATATTCTTGGGCTACGCCCCACTTTTCTTCCCCCTTTCGTCTCTATCAACTTACCACTTGCCAGACTATAGATAGCAACTTGGACCCAAGTGATGTTGTTATGGACAAAAGAAAAGCCATAGGAAAAATTACAAGCGCTAGTTGTGGCCTCTCTGGTACAAGTGTGATTTATCTGAATGAGGATATGACCATTAAGCAGCCAGATCTCTACAAGGAAGCAAGAACCCTTCGAAACAGTGGATATAAGTATGTGGTGTATAGAATAAATGTGACGGATTTATGTTGTATATTAGAAGTAATTTGGTTAGGGATAGCAAAATTAATTAATAACTATAGGCTCAACCAGTGCCGGCCCGAGGTTACTTTTAGGATGGAGCGAGATCCTACTTTGGCGCCCCTATTTTAAATGTGAATCGTATAAGTACTCTATTCACCGATGTAAAAAATGTCATGAAATTCAATAAATTATTTGCCTCACTTAGGTACTGGTGTTCGGCCACGTGCATATACCCCATATACTGAAGAAAACAAAGGGAATAGTTACCTATGTCATTAGGTAAAAAAGTGGGTTGCCAATTTTAAATAAAAATCCAGAGCATTGGGCTAGTACAACCCACCCATCTCCCTATCTACCTCTAAGATCTACCTTCTGCTGGGTTTTAGCTCCTGTTTATGACTATTAAATACTATTAAAATGCAAATGAATTCCTTATATGTATGAATGAAGTATATGCTCGAGCATGGATTTTGATCATTGTTATGGTGGATCTTCCCTTCATGAAACCATGTTGTCCATTGATAATGACATTCTTTAAATGTGGGGTGATTTTATCTGCAACAATACCTTCAAAAACTTTGGCTACCAAGAAGACATTGCTCGATAATTTTCAATGTCTGATAGATACCAATAGACAATGACATATTGAAAATATCACACAAAATTTGAGACGGAACAAACCTGCAGCCTTCTAGGGAAACAAACGGTATACCATCTGGCCCAACACCGAGACTCTTCTCTTCTCTTGGAATGCAAACTCTATTTTTCCCAAAAGATACGAGTTTGCATTCTTCTTACATGAGGATAATGTTGACATAGCATTAGTCCAGGAAACTATGCTCAGACCACGTACAATTTACAACGTACAAAACTATACTATATACAGAAATGACAGACCTAACTGTGCTGATGGTAGTACTGCCATTTTCGTTAAAAACAATATCCCTCATGATACCATTGCCACTCCTGCCTCTGACAATGTGGAATACACTGGTGTGGTACTCCACCTTGCAGATGGCCCGGCCCGCTTAATATGTTCAGCGTTTATAAGCCTCCTACTAAACGCTTAACCCGTGATGATATGAACTTCTTCGGTTCTGATGCTCCGACCTTAGTTGCAGGGGATTTAAACTGCAAAAACAGAGCCTGGGGGTGTCGCGCTAATAATACAGTGGGCACTTTTCTACTTCAATTCACCCAGGACAATTTCATCTCAGTTCATGCTCCCTTACAGCCAACTCATTTTCATAATATTACCTCTGACATTCTAAACCTTGCTCTATCCAAAAATGTCCCTATAATAACATTGCTACTGGAAATATTAACGATCCCAGCTCCGACCAGACTCCAATAAGTCTTAAAGTTGGTGGTCAGGTCCAAGATGTCCAAAAATACTCACCATACTTTTTCCTTTAACAACTATCCGCAATTCAAATCACATCTTGAAGCCATATCCCACCAGTCGTGTTAGACACGACTCTGGACATTGACAGTGCGTGCTATTAACACATTTACTCAAGAAGTAAATGACTGTTTAAATAGCACTAAAATTACTATTACCACTAAACAAACCCATACTCACTACCACATCACATACGCCAGCAAATTAAGTTGAGAAATGGACTTAAAAGACTGGCAATAAGGACTAGAGACCCAAACATCAATCGTGAATGTAACAGACTTACAAACTTAATTAAAACTTCAATTAAGGAACACAAAAATTAAAAATGGGGTAATTTATTAGCTGACTTATTCCCTGAGGATAATTCTCTAAGGAAAATAATTCGTCTTCTTTTAAATAAGAAAAATAGGCATATTCCCACCATTCATGGTAGAACTGGTTTGGTGTATACTAATCAAGAAAAAGCAAGTGCTTTTGCTGGCTCACTTCAATCACAATTTTCACTCAATGAAGGCCCTGATGATGATATTGATCATGAAGAGGACGTAGACAGGTGCTATAGAGAAATCTGTAGGCTGCCTATTCCTCCGAATAATACAATAACTCCTGACTCCACCGACGACGTAAAATTTTTCATTACCCGCTCAGTCAGCAGAAAAGCCTCTGGTTACGATGATATTAATAATAAAGTCCTCAAAAACCTTCCGGACAACGTCGTTGCGACATTTACTCGCATTCTAAATGAATGCCCCAATCTCAATTACTTTCCTAAAGCATGGAAACTGGCAACGATGATACTAATCCCAAACATAGAAAATCCCAAAACCGGATAAAGATCAATTTCCACAAAATTACCGTCCAATCAGTCTTTCTGTCTTGACTGTCTTCACTTTCTAAAATTCTTGAGAAAATAATTCACGAAAAACTTAAATCCTTATTGACAGAATTCTCCCTGACGAACAATTTGGTTTTCGTCCAACTACTCGCGCCCTGCAGCGCCGCGCCTTAACGGGTGTTGTGCTGCTAGATGTCGAGAAAGCCTTTGATCGTGTCTGGCATGTTGGACTCATAGTCAAACTTCATGACAAATAATTATTCTATTAAGGCCGTTTTACTGCTTGCAATTCTATTTGCAATATGCAAGAAACTTGAACGAGGGCATGCGCAGAAGTGAGTCAGCTGATTGTTTTCTGCAAGATTCTTGACTCCAAGAGATTAATTTGCAAATTCTGTCAAAAACATCAAGTGGAGATAGCTTAAGCTGCCGAAGATCAACCATCCTCTCCGATTCAAAATTCGGAAACATTATCTCCCTATTATTCTGTAATATGATATGTCTCTATCTATCTAATCACATGCTAACCACACGCTTGCTTTCTTGCCTTTTTTATCACCAAGGAACCAGTCGAAGCGCCCCCTGAGGCCTAGCGCCTGGAGCGCCGGCACCGTTCGCCTTATGGTAGAGCCGGCTCTGGGCTCAACATATTTTGTTATAGTTATGTTAAGAAAAAATAGCACAACAATTGGTATAGTTGGATATTATAGGCTTCCATCTTTGAGTGTGGAAGACTTCTTGATGCATTTGGATGAACTGTTGTCTGTAATAATGGGTAAAAAACAAGAATTGGAATTGTTTTTGGGAGATATAAATATTAATATTTTTTCTGAGGATACCTGA